ATACCCCAAACACCTGTGTGCTTCATAAATAAATAACCAAGGTGATATATGTAAGTTATTAGTTCATTCAGTTTATGTTTAATTCATAAATAAATAAATAAACCTGTGTACTCAGCTGTCAGCATACCCAAACAGTGTGGGCTATTTCCAGTCATTTTACAAAAGCACCTGAGCGTTAGTATCACATTTCCAGATACACAAAGTCACCAAAGGACACACTAACAATGGCAGGCCTCTTTGCTGCTCTGAGCTGGTTATAATTCAGGAATGCATTTGGAAATGCCAAATTATTATTATTACATTACAGTATTACATATATATTTTCTCATGATTTTAGAGGTTTAACAACATTTTCAGTCTCAGAATCAAAACTTTTTTTGGTTCAACCACCGTTTAATCCAACGACGGCAAACTCATTTCAGTTGTGGGCTGGACCAGTGAAACTCTCCCTTTGTGCCAGTGTAGACATCACATGTTTAAAATCCCTGAAATAGCTTAACATAAGAAAAAGAAGTGCACTTCTAACAGTATTAACTTTTAAACACTTTTAACTGTTTTTTGATAAATGTAAAATCTAAATGTATATATTTACTTGTTCATTTTTATTGTATTTTTTTTTTACTGTGAACTCATTAAAAAGATTCTACAGTAGATGAAAAATCTGAAACATTTGTGTCATTTAATTGTTTATTAGTTACTTAATTACTTTGGTGTCGCGTGAGTGGCTATGGGGCGGGCCTTATTAGTATGAAAAGCTTATATAAAATAAACTTATTAAAATACAGTTAAAAGCCCAAAATCTATGTCATCCTTTATATTTTCCAAAGCCACACAGTGCGCAACAACTGCATGTGCTTTTGTAATGGGAGAAGATTGTTGCCCTTGTTGTGTTGTCTTTACTCATCTGGGAAATCCTTTGACTCTCAGGTGTGTGTCTTGTGTGTGTGTGTGTGTGTGTGTGTGTGTGTGTGTGTGTGCTGTGTGTGTGTTGTGTGTGTGTTTGTGTGTGTGTGTCGTGTGCGTGTGTGTGTGTGTGTGTGTGTGTGTGGTGTGTGTGTGGTGTGTGTTGTGCTGTGTGTGTGTGTGTGTGTGTGTGTGTGTGTGTGTCTGTGTGTGTGTGTGTGTGTGTGTGTGTGTGTGAAGTGAGCTTACCAGCAGGTGCTGTAAGGAGTGGAGGTCTCCCTGCCAGGCAGCCTGCAGTAGCTGCACCTGGGGGGGCAGATGAGGCCTTGACATCCACCTCACCATTTTTTCCCGCAGCTCTGGCGGACTTATGTGGAGCGCTGTCTGCTGGCTGAAGTTGCACAAGGTCAGGTCAGCATCAGTCCTCAGGAGCTGCTGAACCACCTGTTAAACTCACCACATAAAAAACCTGAAACATCTCAAAAAAAATGTGAAGCGTAGATGTGTCGTTTCTGTCAGTAAAAGGACTGTTGTTGCTCATTTTAGTGTAAACACCTTGTGGTTGGGTGTATTTTAAGAAAACATAAGTTTGAGTTATAATTGGAGAGTTTCCCTCCAGACAAGCCTGTTTTGAATGTCTCCCTCAGAGGATGCAGAGGAGCTATGTTAAAAAAAAGTTGCATAATCTCATGTGATCACAGCACTTTGTTGTTATTGAAAGGAAAAGTACGACGTGTTACGTGACAGAAACTGGTTTCGTCTACCCAACCAATCATATCCATCTGGTGCTTTCCAGGGCTGGAGTAGCCAGCTTACCAAAGCGGAAGCATGGTTACAATAGACATGTACTTGCCAAACTCTCTCTACCGCACACATGCACACGCCGTTACCTCGCTCATGGCACCGCGGCAGGCAGCGATAAGGGGAGTGCATCCTTGTTCCTTGTCTTCCTTCAGCTCTCCTTTCTGCACCCCATCATCAGTCTCACCCTTCTTACACCCTTTCACCATCTCCCAGTCAGACCTGTGTGAACACGAGCCAAAGAAAAGCACAGTGTCTGAGCTGTGAGTCAGGGCAGACTGCTACTTTCATCGTTATTTAGAGAAACAAACGAGGTGGAGAAATGATTGTAAACACACCGCTGATAGATATTACCAAGCACTTTCAGCTAGATGTCTTTGGCAGTCTCTGTGTCTGTGCGATTATTAGTGTGACATTAACCTTGTGATGTAAGTCTCTGGTGATCTAGTGCTCCCCGCAGAGACTAGACTCAGGGCAGAGTATGAAGTATTATGTCTCATTATTACTGCTAGCGATACACATCTTAGTGCATTATGGTACTACATAAACGCAGAGTTTGTGGAGCTAAATAATAATATTTCAACTTGTGTTGATCTGGAAACACTTCTGTGTTTCTGTGTGGTTATGTGTCATCACCACGACAGGAAGAACAAAATAGCCCAAAGTCTCAGGATTGACTACTTCATGAACAAAAAGTGTGTGTTTTTTTAGTAAACCACCTTATTTGACCATGTTCGCGCACGCTAACACTCCCCCCTAATGTAATGTGAAATCATTTTATAAGTGTTTGTATATTTGTAAAGTAGAAATGTGTCTGTGAGGACTGAACTCCCTCTGGTTTAATGTTTGACAAAAGTAACAGTCAAAATGGATGAAGTGTCTAAAGCGAGTGCTGAGAGAAGGCTAATTTAAAAGTACAATAGAAAAAGTGCATTGTACACATTTCCTGACATTAAACGGTTGTAAGTGGTGCTCATCTGTGTGAGCAGCATTAAGGGAAGACGATGATAATTGGAGTAAAAAGCTCAAATGAACTATTGTTTACTTACAGTTGTTTCATTTGTCTGAATCCACTTGTATATCTTCTCAAACCTGTGGACGTTTGATCAGTGAACCTTTGATCTTTACTGCACACTCTCCACTCGAGTGTTTCCTCCACTTTCCTCTGTTTTGTCCTGCATGCCTTCTGCCGTACGTTTACATTTGGTTACCTTGGAGACAGTCAGACAGACAAGCTGTGGCTTTAAATGCTTTCAGTCTGTTTGTTGCCTGATGCATTAAATCTAAGTGAAACCACGAATATGATTTCTGTCTAGTGTGCTCGACGCAGTTAGACTGTGCATGTAGTAAAGTTTGCTTCTGCGCATGATCGGGCTTTGTTTTTGGAGAAGGGGAGAAATGCACAAGCAATCTTTTAACTCATCAAGCTCAACTAAACAGGGAGGCTGAAGAAACCTATAAGTGATCATATATATATATCCAGTCTTTATATCCATAAATACGATACTGTATAATTAACATATTCTCTGAATGAGGCTTCAGGATGACTGCTTGTGCACACGGTGCTGTTTTAAACTCCAAACCTGCTCTTGTGTTGTTGGATTTTGTTAAAACATGCTAGTCTGTATGTTCAGAGAGTACCTACGATTACAGCTGAATGTTCTGGTGTGAGCTTCCTTAATGACAGTCACACCAAACTGAGGTATAATCTAACGCTGTATTACTTCTCCACAGCAGCGTGAAAGTCTCTGCTTTTAACTTCTAGATGCAACTTTGTGTTGGTTTCAGTTTCAGCAGCAAACTGGATGGAACAGTTAATTCCTCCTTCTTTCCTATTATTCTGTCATTTGTGTATCACAAATAAACAAGACAGGTCAATAAGTGACTCTTAGGTCAGTCTGAGAAACTCTTCATTGTTCCTTTGAACTCTGACTTTGGTTCTGTCAGAGACCATATTCTGTGTCCTCTCACTTTGTTTTTGCAGAATGTTTGCTCTGTGGTGTCATTTCCTCTGGACCTTTGCATTTCAGCTGAACAGATGGATGTGACTTTTTTCCCCGAAATTAATGCATTTGACTCCAGTTGTCTCCTCTTTAAGTCATTGTGCTGGCAGCACAGCAGTGGCATCGTTGACCTTGTGTAAACTCTTTTTCTTCTGTTTTATCCTCCTGTCTGACCTTATCTGTGGAGCCCGCGGTGAGGGAATTGGGTCCTGACTCTGTCAGTGGGAGATGATTTGGCCACTTTCAGGTTTCCTTTCAGTCGTGCCACTTTCTGAATTTAAATTGTCTCTGAGCTTCTTCTGTAGTTCTGATATCATGATTTTACAAAGCCACACCTAAGGGAATGACATGAAGGCCTGTATAAATGCATATATGAGTCAGCTTTAGACCTTTTGATGACATTTTGTTTTGACACTTTAAAATACATAAAACATAAATGAAAACAAATAAAGAAAAAAACTTTCAGTAAATTTTAAAGTGCCTTTCCATAGAATATGAAGTTTTAATAAATACATGAGTAGGTTTATGTTTCTGCAGCTTCTGAATGTTATATTAATTAATGCTAAAGCTGCAAAGTAAAATCTGTCGCGTCTATTAATTTTATTTCTTTAAAAAAATATTCTTACTTGTACATATTAAAAATTTATAGAAACAAAATACTGCAAATTAAACTATGCAACCACCTGAATCTGATAATGGCTATGAAAACAGCTTAAAGTGAAACAGTTTTTATCAGTGGCCTACATCTACACAAGAGGTGCAAATATACAATTATGAAGGAGAAAAATAAACACTTATTTCACCAACTTTACCTCCTGAGGACTGGAGTTGTGATATTTGATGTAAATCGCTGTGTAACGCTCCATATGAACACTAGATGTCGCTGTTGGACAACTGCTCTGAACCCGTGCCACGCTTGAATCCGTACTCGCCGCACCTGTCCTCATCGCGTCACCACAGGCGGATGCACAGTGAATAGAATATAGTGAAGAGAATATAATTTTGTATAGAATCACAAAACTATACTTTTCTTGTTTTTTTGGACTTTAAAGTTTATTGTTGCAGCTTCTTCAGATGGAACTCTGAACTCTGCGGACTCCTCTGTCTTTTAGTCGAGTTTTTATTTGCACCTGTTTATTTTCACGAGTTCTCTTCATAGTTTTTGATCATTTAGGTTTTTTTTTTTAATTATTTGGATATATCGTTTATTGTTTATTTAAAGTAATAGATATATCTTTTACAGACTTCTGGGTTCTCACCAATCAAAGAGTGAGAAAAGAAGTACAGCTCCCTCCCCCTCCCTCCGCTCTTCCAAATCAGCACCGCTCCCCCTTCCCGCACTGTTTGGGTCTGTCCGGTGTCCCCATCACTAACCGGGACCCATGTCCTCGGGGGGAAGCAGTGAACCCTGACACAGTCGCTCAGCTCCACTGGTTCCATACTGGTGCGTCCCGTTGCGCACGAGAGCGCTTGAACCAAACACCGCACGCTTCCAGTGACGTTTTTCGGATTTCTTCAGACCTGTGGACGGCTTGTTGGAGAGAGAGTTGCAACTTTACGACTCATTATGTTTCACGTCTGGATGACTCGGTGACAGGAGGACTCGGGGGAGTTGAGGTAGCCTACAGCAGGAACAAGGAGCAGCCTCGGCTCTCCCCCGAGCGGTTTGCGCAGGGTGACACAGTGAAGCTTTTATTGGGGCTGATTGACCGTGCGGCCGGATTACATGGGCTTCTTAAACAGCAGTTATTTATGATGCTACCAATTACTCGTTGAGCTCTTGTTAGTTGCCGTTCCCTTCACTTCCTCGCTTCCAAACTTCAGTCAGTGGATCGTTTTGAGAGCGACAGGATGGGCTCGCAAACCTGCACAGCTCTGCAGAAACAGGCGCTCCTGTGGTTCGTTATAGGTGAGTCCCACACACCGTGGTTTAACGGATGCTCTTCTGATTAAGGCACTCGAATATTTCTGGGCTAAACTATGAGTTTTGTTTGAAAAATATCACAAAGAAGATCCTAAAACGGAAAGAAAAAGACGCATCCTGCCAGAACAGTGTAAAAGAAACGGGTTTGGATGCACTTCTGTTGAACTCGCCTTCCAACCCGGTGCCATTCACGCCTTTTACTTACCTCAGACATGTGAAGGAAAATGAGAAGTTTTTGTTTCCTTTCAACATAAAATACGAAATCGTGCCAGCGTTTCTCAAACTGCTTTTAATTGTAAGAATAGAATATAAAATATTTCAAACAGTTTTATATCAATTATAGGACGAGTGTTTCTCATAACATGATATGAGATTTATTACTGGACTACTGGAGGCGGAGTGGTGTGTAAACACGATAATCTCTGTTTAAACTAAAGCATAGCAGCGATGTTGGGAAGTGGCATGTTTCAGGATGGATGTGCGCGCTGGAGACTGCAGTTGGCTGAAAACTTTCCTTCTTTTTGATAACAACCCAGAGAGTGAGGTTTATTAAAGTTTATAAACGGTTTAGATGTGCGGAACTGACTTTGTTTGGGTAGCTTTTCCTTTGTTTGGTTTGTTCTCAAATGATTAATAAATCTTTAACATAATAATTTGTAAAATTTGTTTTTTTTTATCTCAATAATGCACTGAATAAAAGTGTATCTCTACACAACAAATCACACAAGTTATCTTTTTAATTGTGATGACTGTTTGTTTGGATGCTTATCAGCTAAAACCAAGATGAGCTCAGGCAGGACACGACGCTCTGCTCTTTCCTTTAAACAACAACAACACACACATGATATTTGCATAAAACAAAACACTGGCCAACACAGCAGAGAATGCAAAGCTGCAAATCTGACTCGAACACAACAGTGAATCCCACTTTTAGGTGTCACAGCGTGCTCATAACGAAGGAACGACACTGTTCTATTACTGTGTTCCACTCAGTGTATTTCTCTAAACCACTGTGACACCATCTGCCTCTGTAGCGGGCACAATTTATTTTACTTTCTTAATTAAAACCATTGCTTTTGGCTTCCCAACAATGTTTAGGTGGCTGATGGTATCAAATTAACGTGCACGTGAATGGCAGGACCCAAGGTTTCCCTGCAGATGAGATTGTGACAGGATGATCGATGTTATTAATTTCACCTGTCGCCAGGTTTTAATGTTGTGCTTGGTCATCGCGTTTGCAGCTCTTTAAAGTTGTTGGTACAAACCTGTTGCTTGGTGAAGCGGCTCGCTTTGGAAACTTAAATAATCTTAGCAAAGACAGCCACCGAGAACCAGAAAACCTCTGGTTAGGCTCTCGGTAAGTGCCACTATGTTTGTCAAAACTAGTGCCTAAGATGGGTTTTTAAAAGTGTTTATATTTGATCTGAAAGGCCACACGTCCAAGCCGAGTGGAGAACAGGTTGTTGTACGATACAGTTGAGAGGTGATGTTCTTCAAACAGGTGGGACGACTGTGCACGTATACATGTGCACGTACGTCTCTGCAGACAGACATTCGTGGAGTTGGACTCAGTTTTTCACAGGACCGGAAAAGCTTAACAAACAGTTGTGTGACAAAGAATTAGTGAACAGCTGGCGAGGTATGACACAAGTGTTGGTGCTAGCAATTCTCAGAAATGGTCTGAAGAAGGCCTGGTGAGGTTCAGCATGGGGTTTAAGGGCGATCATGTGCAGCAGAATTAAGGCTACGTCCACACGTACCCGGGTATTTTTGAAAACGCAGATTTTTCTATGCGTTTGCACCTTTCGTCCACACGTAAACGGCGTTTTTGGTCACTGAAAAAGGAGATTTTTAAAAACTCCGGCCAGGGTGGATATTTTCGAAAACTCCGTTTTTGCATTTACGTGTGGACGAGAAAAACGGAGAAAACGCAGCGTCAAAGGTGTGCGCCTTTTTTGACGTCACACTGTGCGCCACGTTATTGTCTCGGTGAAATGAATTTCCACAATACTGTTACTGTTAATTGTTCTCTCTGCAGTGTTTAAATGCTTACATATACACACAGTTACTGTCCCTCCACACATACGACTCGGTTCTGCTTCTATGCCCCAGCTTTGTTTACTTTTTCCCACCGAGGCTTCTGAGACTTCTGATTGGCCAACATTTCTGCACGGTTAGGAATATAGCGCCACCTGCTGCTTTGGCATGTTCCTAGCAGTGTTTTCCTTCATTTCTGCGTTTACGTGTGGACGGGATTATTTTTTTAAAACGAAAACGGAAAATCTCCGTTTTCAAAAATACCCGTGTACGTGTGGACGAAGCCTAAGACATGAAAGAAAAGTGGGACGCGCAAAGACGAGATATGCCCATCAAGAGCAAAATAACAATAAGCAGAGTCCTGTTAGAGGCAGAAAGATTATGGGCATCTCATTCTGTATATGGATCACTTTCCCCCCTAACTTCATTCTCCCTCTTTCTCGCTGAGAGCACTCACATGTTCACGGCACTCGTAATTTTAGACTTATCATCAGATTCAGCTGACATAGTCTGAGACACAATGCTAACCACTGAATGCTTCACCCTTAGCTGAACTGTAATATGAAACCTGTCTGCTAACCCTGAACTAAATATTTGACACTGTGGTCGCTGTCCCTTCCTCGGCTGTTTTGAAGCTATGAGCTTGTCAGTGGAAAAAGAAAATGAACATCTGCACAGCTGAAATACGCACTGGAAATATGTGGCAAATGTATGCACGCTCAGACTGTGACAGTCTAACAGCAGCATTCAGGCAAGCTTCCTCTACTCTTTGTCTTTTGTTTCCTGTAACTAATGCTCTGTGTAGGTGTTTTATATTTACAGAAAGAGAAAGTTATGAATCATCGCAGTACCGCTGAACTGCCACATTACTGCTCCACAACATTTCTGTCTAAAATGGGAATTTCGAAAGTTTTCCTCCCAAAACTCACTTTTGTTAATATCTAACAGACCACTTGGAAATGGCAAATCAAAACAAACCCTGCTGTGGAACTCGCCACAGTCATTTGTGCCATGACAGAAGCATTTATTTCTTTTAATTTTCCATGCTAGTTTTCTTTCACCAAAGAGTGCAGAATGGATGAAGGGGAAGGAGTCTGTCACTCGTTCAAAAAGGGCCTGGCACATAGAGAGAAGCTTTAATCTTCTCTCTCTGACGTGATCGTCTTTCATCTGACGGCTCAGGATTTGATTTGAATCCTTTCAAACATTTTGCACACAGAAGCAACTCAGTCACAGTGAAATGTGAAATGACAAAAGGTAAACACTTTATAGAATGACTCAGGGGGGAAAACGTCTGTGACAATTTGGCCATATTCACTGAATATTCTATAAACAATCAAAATGGTTGACACAGTTTACACAAACTGAAGTACGAAGCTCAGATTGGATCAAAGAACGCCGCCTGTCAGGTCCCCGTAACCAAGATTGTGGGAGCTGCTCTCATAAATCTGGGTCTCGGGCGAGTTTTTAATCGACTCTTCATCCAAAGTTAAATATAATTATAATAGAGGAGAAGCCAGTTTTAATGAATTTCATTTTGGAGGCTTTATTCAGAATCAACTGGTCTTTCAGATTCATCTTGCTGGCCATTGCAACCGTTTCTCCTGCTGGCCACAGAGCGGTCCCAAGCCGAAGCTGCTATGAGACTTTAGCAGCACGAGTTAGCCAAAAATAATGGCTGTCTCTTTCCGAGCAGTTACTTGTTTACACAGTTTATTGGTGTTATTGTGTCCAGGCAACAAGCATACGTGGGAATGCCAAGGACACACAACATAAACAGTCCTGGGAACCATAATAAAGCTTTTTTTTTTCACTAAAATGGTTGTAAAAACAGAGGAAGATAAAATGAAACTGCGACACAGAAGCTGAAATAGATATGAACTCAACACTAATTTATTACCTCGTAAAAATGATGAATGGAACACGACAATTGTTTGTGGTCAGATAACAACTCGCTTAAATCTTGTGGAACATTTGTGGCTCATCATGATTGCTAAACGCTGCGAACAATTTCAAATGTGTGCATCTGCTCCTTGTTTTGATAGTTTGCATATTTTGTTTTTAAATCTGCAAAGACTGTTTAAAAGTGATGCTGGGGATGGACCAGTCCAGCTATACCAGGCAGGCAGCGCTAACATATAGACACAGACATCCATTTGCACCTGTGAGCAATTTAGCAATAAATAAATGACACGTTAACTGCAATAACCAGCAATAACCACTGTGCTGCCACATACTGTCCAGTCATTAAGCAAAATTAATAAGACGGATATGCTAATTATGCAATTTTACTGATAGTAATTGATAGTACTGAAAAGCTAGTGGGGTGGCTGTAGCTCAGGAGGTAGAGCAGGTCATCTACTGGAAGGCTGGTGGTTCCACCCCCACAGCTCTGCATGCCAAATATCCTTGGGCAAGATATTAACCCTAAGTTCTCCAATGCATGCATCCAAGTATGAAAGTTAGTAAGCACTTAAAATCATAAAAAAAGTGAATGCGGCATGTTGTATTAAGCGCTTCGAGTACTCTTTCGAGTAGAAAAACGCTCGATAAGAATCAGTCCATTTACCATTGTTTTAAGTATGAATTTGGCCTATAGCAGATGCAGACACTGATATCGTTTCTGTTTGTGTATCATGTTTTTTTATAACTATTTCTCGTCTCGTGCCAAGAAAATAAAGAAATCTTCTTTCTACGCTGACGTGAACAACAGAAACGTCAACAGCTGACATTTCCAAATGCATCGTTGCTTGGCGATAGGCCCATATCGGTCAACAGAGCCAATATTGGCCAATAGCAACGTCCAGCCAAGTTATCAGTCTTCACTTAAACCCGACAGCTGGTATGAAGTGTTTGTGCTGATATGTGCTGCTGTGCGTGATGGTCCGAGCCGCCCTGTCATGTTTTTTTAGAAAGATGAGGCTCTTTCCTGGCAAAACTTCCACATG